ACATAACGACTCTGATTTTAATAGGCCTATTTGTATATACAGTTAAATGAATAAAATTTTTGCAAGATTGTAAAGGAATAATGTTTTCTTCTTTTTAAGACCGGAAATCTCACAGAAGTGTCTGTAAAGTTATTTGTTCTCTTCCTTGCATGCAGGGATAGCTCATGTGAGTCAGAGACCTAAAAACCACATAATGATAGCAAGAATGCTCTTAAGTGAGCAAGTGCTTCTTCTCACCTCAGCTGGCCCAGAGGTGGTGGATTAATAAATTCACCTGGAAAGAAGTAAAGATGGGCTTTAGTGTTGAGATGGGGCCTGCAGTAGGGCAAGGCTGAGAGAGTTGCTGAGAAGAGAGGCTTTGTAAGATGCTTTACCAAAGGCACAGGGCTCTGGAATGATGAAATTGAGAAAAGCTTGTAGGTCATAGTATCTGGGACTGAAAGTACAGCCCTGAGGGGAGAAATACAAATTTCTGGTTTAGAATGTAGAGAGGGGATTCTTGTGAGTCCCTTAGTGATGAAAACTGGGACAAGGTTGCAGATGACCTAGTCTGCTAGTTGAGGAAGAGAAGATGTTGCAAAGGCCATGGTGTTCAAATAGATTTTTTCTTTTCCAAGATAAATGTTATTTTTTTTTTCTCCCTCTTTTTAATAAAAATATAAAGAGAGGGAAGGAGTGAAGCAAAGGGAAACTTCTTTCCTCTGTTATAAATACAAGTTTCTCTGGTTAGGAACTCTAGTATCACTTTGCCAAATAATGCAAATGCTTATTATCAAAAAAGATCTTTTTTTATTTTAAAATTAATTACCTAAAATATATATTATTTAAAAATATTGCCTTAAATGTACTGTGTAGCTGCTTATGAAGGGAAAATCTTGCAATCATTAAAAAGAGAAATGTATCCTGAATGGCCAGCTTTGTTTCTGAGCTAACCATTACAAGAAAGATAAAAAATCAGACTGACTTCCCAGTATGTTGCCTTTTAAGGATATTGATTAAGGCCTTGTAGATTACTTCTTGGGAGGTGTAAATGGCTAGGGATGAGATTATTTGCTTCCATAGACATACACAGAACTATTTTCTCCACATGTTATTCTCTTGTAAATACCATCTTTGCCTTCTCTTTATGTTCCTGAATCCCTTTTCCTCTGGAAAGCTCTATGCTTTCGTTACCATACATTACTGAAGAACCTTGCTTTTGTGATCTGTCTCACTAATGAGACTGACTGAATGTTATAACCATGCATCATCTAAGAAAGAAAGGTGTGTTGATGATCTACAGCATAATTTAGATGGAGATGTCACCCAAGGAGGGAAGATGGCATTAAGCTGCAAACTCAGTGTAGTTATGAAGTAGGGCCTTGCAGTGCAGGTGATTGCTGCTTTTGTGGTCAGGACTTGTCCTTAATGAAAGCAAGGTTGCCTGTTTCTTGGGTGAGAAATAACTTTTGACTATGGTTTTTGTTTTTCACTTACTGCCATATTAGTAGGTTGGGTAATCCTCACAAGTATGAGCAAAGCTTGTCCTTAATGATCATGAGTATGGGGTGTGAAAGGAGCAATGCTGAATTACAAAAGGATAGGGAAATTGGAAGAGGAAGGGGGCTGAAGTATGTGCAGATTTGGGTGAATAACCATGTGACTGCTTTGAGCAGAGCAGTTCGACTAGGTGACCTCCAGAGGCCCTTTCCAGCCTCGCTGGTTCTGTGATTTCTGACAACAGGTAAAATGCTAAGAGTGATTACCTGTGAAGAGCCTAAGTGTGGGAGGGAACACAGGTGTGGAATACCAGTTGAAGGGAAGAAGTCAGACGTGTATAATGAGTCATTTCTTTACCAAAATTTAACTTCTCAGCCATGACTAATAGATGATAGCTTTGGGTTTTCTTGTGCAGACCTAATGTGATGATTGGAAGAAAGCAACTGCTGTGTGTGGACTTGAACAGGTACAGCCCTATGTATTTCTAGAAATGGAAATTATTATTGGTAGTTGCTTCTTCTGTCACAAATTCTTGCCATGCATGAGTGAGCACCCTGAAGAACCTATACATAGGATCAGATAAGTCTAGTTTCTGCCAGCGTGCCAGGCTCTGTTTTCTGGGCAACATCTCATCAACAGGAAAATGGTGGCATCTGAACTTTGGGAAATACACATTCTGCCATCACGCTTGATACTTCATGCCCATCTTTTGGACTAGGATATGGGGTAAAGCAACAGCCCTGTGAAGGTTGTTGGGTGACATTTTTGGAGTTGTAGATAGCAACAAAGTTTCATGCTTGTCCTAATGAATATTTCTGAAGCCTTAGCCACCCTGTGATCTCATCAGGATTTATGGCTTTGCTCCTTCTGAAGAGATTAGTCCTGAGGAGTTATGGCAGACACCTCTCACCTCCCACCGATGTTTCTCCTCTGCTTGGTTTTACCATTGAAGAAAAACCCTGATGCATTGCAGCCTAATCCCATATGTGGATAAAAGCTGTATGAACTTTTCCAACCTGAGTATCTAATAAATCACTGTCTCAATAAAGAACAGATGACTTAACCTGGGAGACAGGAAGGTGGGAAACAAGTCAAGGAAATAGAGTACTTTCACAGTTTATTCAGACTTTGTGTTGATTAAGGCCATCTAGTTCCAACAGAGGTCAAGTGTCCAGCTGCCACTTCACTGTCTCTCAGCAATTCAGCTCCTGCAATAGCCCTTCTACCAAAACATACTGCTATGAATTGGTCTATTAAAATGAATTAGATCCTGCAGACTGAATGCTGGTCTGCAGCTACTGTGAGGGAGAAGTCTTTGTCACTGGGTTGCTTGATTTGGGCAGCAGAGGAGAATGTTTTATTTTATGCGGTAAACAGTATCCTCTAAATTATTAGTGAATAAGTTTTAGAAGGGTGCAGCTGATTATAGATAAACCTTTCCACTGAGAATAAGGTCACCATTCTCATTACACTGCTATTAATGGGGTTTTGACTCGGCTGTTGTCAGCAGTCATTTCCAGATGGGTTAGGAACTATTTTTGCCTCATTGTTAGTGCTTGTAAAGATAAACAAGCAATGGGAGCAGCTTTATGAACAACAAAGATAGAGGTTTATATAAACATCCGAAGATACAGAAGACTATGTAATAGATAAATATTGGTCTCTGACCAGTCTCTGTGACAGTATTTGGAGGTATTTGTAAGGGTGTTTCTTACCGAGATGACAAATAAAGTGGACCAGTGTGAACCTTTTCTCTTGGTGTACCTACGCATAACCTTTTTTAGTCCACGCCGTGCATTTTCCAGAGGACATGAGGGTGTTTTGCTGGCTCAGAAGAAATTATTCCTTTATGTGTTATGTATTACAGAGAGATGTGTAAGTGAAAAGGGGTGAAAGAGTAAAGGGACAGTTACGAAGTTACAAGAGGAAAAATGCAGACGGGAGAATAATTTCCCCTTCTTCCTCAGTATTGTAACAGAAGGACAGATAATAAATAGCCCCAGTTGAAGGATGTAGAGCTTGGTAAAAATGATCACAGTAAGGTCTGAGGAAAAAGTAATACATACAAGCTGGAAAACACCCAGTAAAGGAAGGGGCAGATTGCTTTTTAAATCATCTGTAGATGGTCCAGCGGGGTTTTCTTCTTTCCTTTATTTTTTTTTAAGCTTATGAATGGTATAATAAATGTGGTATCTAATGAAACTTCAAGCAAAGTTTAAATAACTGATTCTCCTTTTCTCTGCTCTTATCTTGGTGGAAGCAATTATTTTTAAAAGGCTTCAAACTTCTGTTTTATAAGACTTGTTTGCAGTGGTTCAGCAAACCATTTTATAAAGAAGTAATCATGACAGAAGTCCTCATAGACAGTGCAGCTGCATTTCATGAAAACCAGTGTATTGTGAAGATTGTACCCTCACCAGTGACTCCAAGCAAGAGAGTGCAGTTTTACCTGTTTTATCAAGATTTGTATCTGTATTTGTGTTAGTGATTTAGTAGGTAATTTGTTTCCTTTGTTGGTACTGAACCATTGCTACAGTTTAGTAAGGAACACCATGTTGCCAGTCATGCTGTGTTTCACAAGATGTACATCTGAGGTCTTAATCTCTTGTGGTTATTAAAGATACTACAGTGTATTTTTTTCCTCGAGTAAAAAGAAGGTAGTGTTCATATTGGGTCAAGCTCAAGCATCATGCCTGCTAAAGAGAATGAGAGCTTTGTCATGGACTTCAGTAGGGGCAAGGTTCCTGCAAGAAGTTTCTGTGGTTTTAACTGAATATGGAAAGCCTGGCGCATTAGGGTCCAGTTCAGCTCAGTTCTTAACTGCACAGGACTTAACACATTGACACCAAGCCTTCGATTTCTGGAAGATAATTCTATATATACTAATAAATGGAGACCATGTGTTCACAAACCTTTCATCTTATCTCTGCCTTAGGTAAGTTTTCATTGTATGTTACAGGGCTGGTCTTTCAATGCCTTTCACAGACTAGCACCTACTTATGCAAACAGTGGAAATTCCCAAATTCCATTGGAACAGAATAGCTTGGGTGCATAAAGATCAATACATAAGAAGCCAAGATGAAGAGCTTTTGCATGATTTAGAACTAATAAATTTTTTATGAGCTCTTGTTTTAATATTAGTTACATAAATTGTTAAAAATACAAAATCTTTAAAGTTATTTTCATCAGTCTTACTTGATCAAATTAGTATTTCTTTGCAGCTGTGTCTTTATCTTGGAAAGGGAAAAGTGAAAGGTATAAAAAAAGTTCAACATTTAGCTGTTGCTTTAGATTTTATGTAGAAGTCAATTGTATGCTACATTGATTACTGCCAGCACAAAACCCTAGACAAATTAGGTAAGATGGAGATCATACTATGTTAATATTTCTTATGACTTCAGCTTTTTTTCCCAGATAATTTTAATCAAACAGGATCATTTAGTTCCTTATTTTTCTCACTATTTCTTTCCTGAAGTGTTCGTGATGGCTTGTTCTTGCAGGAGAAGCTTAATGTCGACAGTATGGGGCATCAGGTGATAATATTTGACTTTTCTCTCATAAGAGGACTGTGGGAAGCTCGAGTTAAGAAGAACAAAGAACGTCAGAGGAAAGAGAAAGAAAGATTAGAAAAAAGCTCATTGGAGAAGTAAGCTAACTTTTCTGCTGTTCATTTTAACTGAATCCATTTTTATTAGCTACTAACATTGTCATAGACTAAGCATTATCAGGTTATTCAAATTTTACTTTTTTTTGGTTTGATTTCAGTGATTTCTCACCTCCTTTCCTCAGATAATTGTAAGAGAAATGCAGCACAGACTGGGAATTTCAGATATGATGCAGAGAAGTAAAATGTTCCAAGTGCACTTTCAGCATTCACAAAGGATTTTTGTTTTCTTCCTTTAGCTTGTAATTTGCATATGGTACTTTGTCTTGTTGCACATCTGCATGCAACCAGATTGCCTTCCAGTTAGTCTTACTTCTTTTAGAGCTCCTGGAAAAAAGGAGGCAATACATCAGACTTTGTTTCCTGAATGTGAGTGACCAGTATTTCACCCACTGAAATGAATGGCAAAGTTCATGTTTGTTCTTATGATGCAGGTCTCATAGAATGGATAAAGCTGGTAGAATACTGGTCAAAGCCATAATAATAATATTGGTAATAAACCGCAAAATTCAGGTAAAGGAAAAATCCTCTATGTTTTATGAGGTGACCACTGGCCTTTAAGTCCTAAAGGTCAGATCACAAGTTATTTCTTAGACGCTTCTCAGCACTTCCAAAGGTTGGGCCAAAAATAGGACAAGATTTTTCTTGTTAGGTCGAAAGTATAGATAAAGTTGTAATTATAATTAAAAGTTTAATAGAAATAATGTTTCCCCTGTGTCCACTGAACAATGCTAGTACTTACTGCCAAATCACAGTAAGAAAGTATTTTGGAAAGGATTGTGTCCCAAAATGATAATTCCAAAAAGATGTTCAAAGAAGGCAGTTTCCCAAATTGAGGGCTGAATTCTGGCATTTAAGATTCTAGATATTTATTTTTGCCAGCAGCCAGAGTGAATTCCTAAGTAGGGCTGAAATTAATAGAATTTCTCTGCAAATATACTCATGTAACATAAGAGTTTGGAATCTGGCCTGCTGAGGCTGTTTTGCTTTGCCTTTTTTCTTTTTTTAAACAAAATCCAGTTTTGCTCAAGGAGGTTACAATTCACGAATGCCCTTGAGATTGTGCGATTCTTTGTCAGCTGTGTGGCTATGTAAAATGACCTGACAACATGTAGTGAAATGTAGTATGGACTATTTGAGGAAAAACTCCCAATTAACCTCTAGGGAACTTTGCTTGCCTTGGGGCAAGGTAATTTAGTTTATATAGGGTCAGTAAGCAGTCACATGTAAGGTATTTCTCTTTTCTGACTGAAGATTTTCTAAGAGGAAAACCTCACAAATAAATGCAAAGCTTGAACTGTGTTTGTGTTAATGGTGAGGTCTTGTAAAGATTTTGGGAATTTACAGGTCTAGAACAGATGCTTAAGCAGCTGGCGAGTGAAAGCTGATTCTAGAGAACAGTCTACTGAGAATATTGTGAGAGGCTCATATCTGGCTCTCTGAGATACTGATATCAGGTCACTTTGGGTGGAGTCAATTCAGTCCTCTGTTTCTCCTTTGGTTTTGTGGGACTGTGGAAGTACACTAGTTTAAGGAACGCCTGTTTCTGGGGGTCACATATAAACCAGTATAAAAGAAAAAGAAACTGTACAGTGTTATGCAGGATTAATTTCATTTTACTACCTGTACTTAATCCCATCAGACAAGCCTATCCTAAATCTCCCATAGGATATGAAACATGAACTGTTACATAAAATGTGCACTGTTCTGTGGTGGTTATCTATATGTTTATGAAACTCCGTATTATGGAAAGAAGTTTGTGTTTATAGCACTGTTTTGTATTTCATGTTCTAGTTTCTGGTAGTGGTGAACAATCTCATGTTGTACCCTGAAATCCTGAATGCTGTCAGACTAACTTGATGTGATATGATGATTTTCCTCATTATTTTTTCCTTTATACTTGTCATTTTTTTAGAAGGGGAACGAAAGTTTACAGTTAGATTTGTTTTTTTGAAGGATTACAACGTGTTTGTCTTCTATGTGAAAAACAGGTAGGGTTAAAATTGAAGACTGACAAATTAAACATTCAAGTAAGGAAATGCCAGAGCTGTTTGACCAGATTAGCTATCTAAATCTCTGCTGTGAAATGGCACAGCCTCCCCTGTCCACCAACCAAACATGCAGCAAAGATAACAGTTTGTTCAGCCACCTCTTCCAGTGTGTCTCCTCTCCAAAAATTTCCTCTCAAGGTCTGGCTAGCTAGAAGTGCATGTATTACTTTTCTGAGCTATGCACTTCCTGAATGTTTAAAGTCAAAAGAAAACTTTCACTCTACAGGCAGACAGTGACTTTTTTTCCCTGAGTGGTTATGTGTTTGTTTAATAAAATAGATTTGTCTCTATCTCTCTGCCAAACTTCAGTGTTATAACTCTATTTGAACCTGAACTAAGATTTTATTTGTGATGTTTATCTTTATTCTCCCACTCAATACCCAATTCAGAAATTTTTCTAAGGAAGACTAAAACTCAGGCTGGGAGTCTGTAGCCCCAAACACAAATTATAGGCAACAAGTTGGGAGTAGATCTGCAGCACTAATAACCACTTAAGTTATTTGCCTTTGTTTTTAGGCACTTGGGCATACAGACCTTGCATCTAATATAATGCACGCAAATGGGTTGAAAGACAAAAGCTGTTGTTCAGCCACAATCCTTTAGAACCCATGGAAGAGCCTGGCAGAGGTACTGAAATTAAATCAATCCAATTGAATTTGAAGAAATATTACTCGTCCATCAGGAATATTAGTCTGGGCTGAGCTCCCTTTTAACTGCAGTGCTTATAAAAATTCCATAGGATTATTTAATGATCCTGTGTGGGTAGTGATTCTGATTTAAACATCACCCAGGAGTACTAAACTGGTGTCACCAGGTAGTGTCCTGGCAATTTTTTTCATCCTAATTTAGAGGAAACAGTGCCATCTAATGAAACTTCCTTTCTTTACCTAAGAAGCATAGCTTTTCCTCAAGACCTCCTAATCAGATATTGAGCAGTGGGTAACTGCAGAAGGGAGAACCATTCAAAGAAACCCAGCTACTCATTTACTGGGATGGCTCTGAAATCCTTACTAATGCAAACTTTTTGTTTTCCAAGCTGGTCGCTTCTTTGACGGGTCCAATAATTGAATTTATTCTACAGTAATTTTTTTGCATCAGGTTGATTAGATTTGTGATTTTGTTGGAGAATCTAAAAGGTCAAGCAAGGAACTCTGATATCCTCAAAAGGAAGTATTTATAATAAAAAAAATATTAATTATTTGTTGTTAAATCTTTTTGCTGCAGATATACTCCAATAGTGAAATAATGTTTGGGGAACAATTACCTGAAGACAAGTTCAGCACTAACCAAAATGGAAATACTTGAATATTCCATTTCCCTGTTGATCCTGTTTCATATCTAGAGTGTGTTGTCCTGAAAGCTTACTAAAAAACAGCAATGTATTGGGAAAAATCTTTCCTCTATACCATTTATGGTCTGCTCTAGTGACAGGTGTGCTTTTGTGTTACGGAGATAAAGGTATGTATGAAACTTAATTTTTTTTGACAAACATAAGCAGCATACAATCAGCCTTTTTTTGAAATTAGTTGGGCTATTTGTGTGATTGAAGTGGGAATACTGGAGTAAGTAGCTGAGTTGGAATCTTAGGTCTCATCTGGGTCCTGTCCAGCAAAAATATTTTTTTATGTTCATACTCCCACCTCAATTAGGCTTGACTTGACTAACACCAACTTTTTGAATATTGAAGATGGTAGTTGTTTCTTTAATCTGACTGCAACTGTTTGATCAAGCTCTAGAGGAAGATCAAAACATTTTATTGCTGAATAGTAATAAAAAGACATAAACTTCAGGAGGGCTGTGATTTTGTAACCAACTCATTTGTTTGTCATATGTGAAAATGTGTTCCTGGAATATCAGGAGCCTTTAAAGTGCCAAGACCAGAAATTTGATTTCTCTAAAATGTATTAGTGTATTTAAAGGCTGATTTTATTTGTGTGGATTTTTTTTTCTGTTTGCCACACTGGCTTAGATGCCTTTCCTGTCTTTCCTGAAGATTCATGCAATAGCATCCAGATATGACAAACGTGGTGGTAATTCTATTTTTTTTTTGAGAATTGGCACCAAAGGAAGACTTAAAATGGTCTTTATTTTCATAAAGATCCTTTAAGAAGTACCATGACACTGACAGTGTCTGACAGTGACAGAGCTGAGTGACAACCATGTAGCTGAGTAGATCCCTTTGGTTTGATCTCAACTGTAACCTGCAAATTACAGCTTTGTAATCTTTGCTTAATGATACATACTGGCTTGATGTAAGTCACACCTCCAGGCCAGGAAGGCTTATATTGGTTCATTTGGTTAGTGTGTACCCCAAGGGTACAAGTGGGAGTTGTAAATTGTTAGCCCCTCTGCCCTTGGGATATATCATGTTTTCATTCTGAGATGTATTGTACAAAATTATGCATGTTTATTGCTCCATTATTAATTCACTTTCCATCTGTTTAAAATGTGCTTGTACATAGTACTAAGCCTGGTGATCATAAGCGGGCATTCTTTAAAAGCTCGACAGAGCATGTTGCCATCATTTAATATATGAGTAAAGAAGAAATTTGACACAGAATTTCCACATCAGTGTGTGATATCCATGCTGAATTCCTAATCAGGTTTAATTTTTAATGTCTATATTTCTTCCTAGGTCAATATTTCACCAAGACTGATTTGGTTAACAGCGGTTTTTGTTATGCGCATTTTATTTTATTTGGCTAACAATGTGTCATGACCTCCTGAGATTTGTATTTTGTACATGTTATCAGTAAAGTGTCAGAGGACAGTTTATTCTTTCATCTTTAATATAGCTCCTTTCTCACCATTTTCCATATTTCTTGTTGTGAGAGAGTAAAATTTCAGTTCCGAGGCCTCTGTTCTTGTGTTCCTGGGGTCTACCTGGCAGCCAGCACTGAGGTGTAGCTAAGTGCCTTACGTTTTATCAAGAGTTAGACTTTTTGACCTCTTCTTTGTTTGTTAAGTTTCTAATGTTCTTAGAATTTATACTGCGAGGAACTAGTCAGTAATTTTTTGTGCATGAGTGAAGAGCAATGAATACAAAAAAAGCATCTTGGGGACAAACTTTCTTAGTGCATTGAATTATGCACTGAGACCACATGTTTATTGCTTTGGTAGAAAATGAAGAAATTCCATGGAAATGAGAGGGCAGTAATGCAGACTTAAGCTTCACAGAGGGACAGAAAAGCTGTATGTGGAGGACTAGAGGAGGATGTGAGAAACAGCTGTACAGCAGTGGCCAGTGAAGCTAGGATTATTTAGAAGATTTAAAAAAAAAAAAATAAAAGAATGCAGGGTTTTGGTCCTTTTCAGTTCCTGCTTTTTAATGGTTCAGATCCTTTTGTTGTTCTGTTCCTTGGGGATTTAATTTACTTCCCCACCCCACTTCACTTCCCACTTAACAGTAATACAGAGCTTTTATAGCTAATTAGCTGCACTCACTGGTAGATGAGTTTTGGAAAAAAATGAGTAAAAAAAATGGGCCTGTTTATTTTTATTATAGTATATGAAAGTGTTATTTTCTAACTTTTCCTGGTGATCTCTTGGTATTGCATTGTCTGCCCTCTGTTGTGCTGGTGGTCTCTGGGGTTCAAATGATAGACTGAGTAGGCAAGATCAACACTAAAAATTGAATTGACTCATGTGTCAAAGCATCTGAAAGAGGTGTTTCAACTTTCATGTCTGCTGGTATGGAAAATTCTGGCATCTGAGTGCTTCCAGACTGCAGCTGGAGGGACTGCCTAGTGCAACCAAGTATGTGGTTGTCTCTCCTTCTGTAATCAGATGCAGCATGTTGAAGGATCACAAAATTAGCTAAAGAGCTGCATCTGCTCTAAGTTATTTTCTTGTCTTCGTTATATCAAGTAGCTTCAGAAAAGATTTTGAGATGTGGATTGGTGCTGGTCTCCTCCTTGACTGTACTAGCAGCTTCAGTACCCCTCTAGGAACTCCCTGAGCTGAACATGTTGCTGGATATGTTTTTTGTCTATCCAGTCTTTTTCATCTTAACTCATTTACATATCACACTTTGCTATGGTATAAAGCAGTCCACAATTAGACACTGAGAGAAACTGGGAGATTTACTTCAAGTATATTTGTTTTTATTCTCAAGACTTCTCTATTGACACTTTAAATATCAAAAAGTCCGCCAGATGCCTACTTGTAAAGACCACACTGATCTCTGTAATGAAAATGGAAGCCAACGATGAGTAACTTCTGCAGCTCTCAATAACTTTATTCCTTCACTACTCCTTTCATACCTTGATCAGTTATTGCTCCCACCATCTCTCTGAGAGGCTTTCTGCTTCTGATATGCTAGAAATCCTTTTTCTATTAATTTGTATACCTGCAGTAAGTGACTTCACTTGCTTTTTTGTGTTTTTACATTTATCAGAGCTTATACTGCCTTCTCATTTCTTCATTTGAACATAAAAGTTATTTTATCTTTTTTTTTTTTCTATTTTTGGAAATGAGGGGAGAAAGGTCCTTACAGTGTCTTTGTTAGAATGTACTTACTCTGGGGTTGTGCTGTCTTCATGCCGTCTGCCAGCACTTTACCCAGTGAGCTCCACTTGTAGGATTGTAGCTCATCTTCTGAACTATTTGTAGAAGATGTTTTTCCTTATTTTCTCTTTATAAAGATGTTGCATGGGAATACATTGTGGTCATTATTACAGAAGGGGCTTTCTGTAGTTCTCTGATGACCCATGTATAGTGTGCTGCTCCTTGAAACTAAATCAGGTCCTCTTGTGATGTCTTAGGCTAGCTGCTCTGATAAACAGTTGTGCGTAGTTTCCAAAAGTGTATATTGTCTGCAGTGTGTCAACGTGTTGTGTGTATGACAATAGCTGAAGTCTCCTACTGTTGCTGTGCTCTCTGCTTTCAAGTCTCTCTAACATCCCCTAAGGTTTCAGTGCCACAATTTGTGCTGGGCAGTTTACAGCTGTCTCAGTAATACCTTTCCTATTTAGGCATGCAGTTTTGATCCCTAAAAATTTATTTTGATAGCATTGAGTCAAATATGACTTTTAATCTATGCTACATATTCCCATAAATATACTATGCCCTTCAGTTTCTATCTCATACCTTGCTATGAGCGATGAAAGATTACTTATTTTCAGAAAGTTTGGAAGATGCTTCTTGTACCTAAGTTTGTAACTGGTTTCTTGTATGTGACTTCAAACCAGGCATTCTGTGTCATGTGCCATTGTTTTAACATCTTAGCATATTAGAGAAAATCCCATTCTTAGCTGGGAATATGTGTAGTGCACAGGTTTTGTTACTTCCTACTTGAACTTTACAAACGTGCATCTGATTCTCTTTCTAGGACATGCCATTTTCGACTTTGTCTAGGGGGCACATTATCCCGAACTTTGTGCCCTTCTTCACCTGTCAGTTTTCTTCAAGTCTTTAGCTTAAAATTTCTAGCAGAGGATGGAGATCACAGAAATGAATCTCATGTACCACAAGAATCTAGCATTCAAAGCGTGAGATCAGATTTATGATGCAAGGGGCTCTGCAGAGTCTTATTTTGGTATAAAGAAGGCTTGCTTCAGTTAATCAACCTGTTCCTTAATTGACTAAGCTGAAATAAATCTCTCTTAAATTAAAACATGTGCTTTTGGCAATGCTTAATTATATCAAATTGAATTTGCACCTGAAGTTATATGGATAAAAGTTTGCCCTGGAGGTGAGCCTAAAGTTACACTGAAATTGAATCTGAAATAAGTTGGCATGTGAAAACTTTGACCTTTACCTCCACCTTCTAAGATGGTATTAGAAGATAATGTGTAAAAAATGAAAATAGATCATTATACTTGAACAAGAAAGGGCAGGGAAAAGGGTATATTTCTAACTTCTTACTTTCTAAAATGACTTTTTTCCAACTGAAAAATTTTGCATATATCACCAGGTCCTTGTTTATACATATAACTTGTTCTATGAGAATGTATTTCCTACCCAATTGAAATAAAGGGCACCATTCATGCTGTTTTCTGTGGCAGGGCGCTCAGTCTCCACTTTTCTGTTATTCCCTGGGTGTCACTGTTTTTAGTCAGTAAATGAAATCCTACTCACCTGAAATCTATATGAAAGTCTAGAAAAGCTAAGCATGACTCCAGGAATGCTTTTTTTTTTTTTTTTTTTAATTTGAAAATGGTCAATACATTAAGTGCATAATTATATTTTGTTAAGTACTTGTGCAAACAAAGATCAAGCTTTAAGACTTATTTGTCATATTGTTTCAGCTGATTGATATAAACCCTTTACGTCACTATTTCCACCGATGAGAAGATCTTGGACACTTACGGAAAGACTCCTCAGCTCCAGAAAAGGCGTGCTTTGTCAGATGAAGCAAATAAGGAAAGAAACAAATTTATTTTTCAGCTTTCTGGAGAGCAGTGGACGGTAAATATAATGGAAAATATATTTCTATTGTTAAAGACTTTGTGTAGCATAGCACTGTAATTTTTAATCCCCCCAAAACTTTTTTTTTTTGCCAATGCACATGAAATTGATGTTTTTTCACAGCGTTAGAAATGACAAAAGCATTTCCTATCTTACCCTGAACTAGTGGTTTAGTTTTCAAATATGTTTATTTTAAATTCTCTACCGATCCATGTAATTTAGCCCTCTCAAAATTTTTGGTATAAGCAATCATATCACAATAAGGTATCTTTCTCTGAAATTCCCCAATGGATGGAAAGAGATGAAAATAATATTCAGCTTTGTTGGCTTGTTGATGTCTTCTACTACTCAGAGATCTGTCTTCTTGGTCTTATGGTGTGATAACACTCTTCTCAAGCTCTGCTTAAATCAAAACTAATATTACCACCAATCCACAATGGTCTTGCTGAAAAAAGCACTTTTTACTTACAGTTGTGTTTGATGTGAAATAGCAGTTTGGAAGTAAACTCTGAATTAATGCTGTTTTGAAATTCAGCAAAAGGTGGATTAGAGCTGGTCTGAAGTTTTCTAGAGTCATTAAAGGTTTGACTGAAACGTATTTTGAATATACGCTACTTTATTAATGACAAAGTGAAATTAAAATTTTGACTTTTGTGTAGTTCATAATTTTGAAATATATTTTTTAGATTTTCATTACAAAAAATGCAAGTTAAAAAGTCAGTCAATAAAGTGGCTAAATTTTACTAAAACAATCCTTTTGATTGACCTGAAACGTAACTTTGTCCCAGACTTGATCTTGAATATGAAGGTGTTTTCTTTTTCAGCTTTCTTTTTCTTCTGGCTTTAGTTCTTTTCTGAGTAAACGTAAAATAGGTTAAATTTCTGGCATGTCATGAAAATAGAAAACCCTGGTTCCCATCCAGCTCTAGTAAGGAGACTATTTCTTCAACTGATGTCAATCACTCATGTGGTAGGATTGGTTGCTGGAGAGCTATCACATCTCATCTTTCAAGAAACTTGGGTATTAAAAATTTTATTAAAGCTGTGTAGTCCTATACTGCACACTTTCCTGCATTGTAAACTTTGTAGGTACGTTAGGAGAAAAGAAAGAGACATTACAGCTCCTTAGACACTGATTTAGTAACAATTGCAAATATTTTCAGTGCATCAGGGAGCAGAGAGCTGCATAATTAAACTTTTCTGTTGCTTATTCTCTTTTGCCAAACTGTTAGCATTTTACTTTGTCACCATAAACAAGGCTTTATATTAGGAGGCAAAATAAAACATACATAATTTAGTCTGTTTTCCAGAGCATTTAATTTCAATTTGACATGCTGAAAGATCACATTTAAGAGATATTGGTGTCCTGTTATGTACATAATGCCACCTCAAGCAGTACGCTCCTAACCACCATGCGCCCAGCCACTGTCCTTCATTGTCCAGCTCTAGCCTGGTTAAAGTGAGCTCCTGTTTCAACAAGATACAGTGACATAGTTCAGGTGTCTGCAGACAAAGATGAAATCAAAGCTGCTTTATTTAGAGAAGACCAATGTCCCTTCAAAATCAAAGAACATTGCCAGTCTCTAACAGCTGAAAGTTATTTTAAAAAATGTGAAAAACCACTTAACAAAGTTCTGAAAGAAGTGTATTTCCCCTTATTGCAGAAATTCTGTAAAAATTATATTGTTTATACAAATCATACCACTTATTTTGCTTTTTTTTAATCTCAACTGCTGCTTCTAGACCAAAGACAGAATCAGACATGACACTTTTTTCCCCTATTACTCTCTCACAAAAAAGTGCACTTAAGCAAAATGCGTTTGCAGACTATACAACCAAAGCTGCACAGGCTGTCAATTTGCATGTGAAAAGATCTGTGGACATGTGACAGTTTTCTCGGAGAAGCCTGTATGCTATGTAGCTAGGAGCTGTGGTATCAATTTTGGTTTAATATTTGTAATATGTTTTGCACACAAATACATCTATGAGTTGAAAATTTGGAAGATTAAGCACTCAGACACTAGGAGAAGTCAGAGCTGGGATTGCCTGTGTGGTTTTACAGGCACATAACCAGCTTCGTTTGTTCTTGGCTGGCCACTTACCATTGGCAGCAGCAAACAGCACAGCCCTGTGAAGTGTCCATTTGAGAACTAACTGCTGAATCCTCTATCTCACTTGCTTTTAGCTGGTAAGTATTTCTATTACGTTTCCCCTTCCCTCTCATCAATGAAGCAGTAATATATCCTCTAGACAGTTGACAGCTAAACCTGAGTGGGTTGCTGGTATGACTTACAGATTTAATTTTGAGAACTGGGCTTGCTTCTGGGCTGTACGAGTTCTCTTTCTGGATGCTGTGAAGTTAAGTCTCACAGAGGAGTAATCCCCAGCATAGGGATTTTTCAAGATCAAAGCAAGTAGCTTTAGCACATGCTTCCCATAGGTCTCAGTGTAAGGGCTCTCATTGGAAACTTCAGCAGCAAATGAGCTGAGTCCACGAATCAGCTAGTGGTGTCATTTGCAATGTTGCAGTCAATAAGAATGGTAGCTTGTGTTGGGCACTAATCAGTGCCCAGACTGTCTAGATGGTAAAAATGTAAACATGTCACAAAGATGCTATTGTCTCATGCTCCATATCCATACAGCATAACAGTGAATCTGGCCCACTGATTCTGCATTGTTGAGTATGACATTAAAAATAGGTTTTGTAAAACACTCCGTCGTACGCTGGGATAGCTTGGACAATTATTTTGAAAATCAGCTGGATAGTGCTCTTTTGAAAATAATCTCTGATCTCCTTCTGAGAACCTTTGTAAGGGAACAAATCAGAGCAGATCACACATTTTTGAATTCCCGATAGAAATTCCTTCCTCCAGCACTTCTGTGCCACTTTTTTCCCACCTTCCACATGATAATGTATTTTCATTAGGTGGAGACCCACTGTTTCTTGTACTTGTAAAGTAATTATTTTAACATAGCTGAGGAAAGATAAAGCTCGTACAATGAACATTAGGTTAGACAAATAGGCACAGAGTACTAGCTAAAGAGAGTAGGGCTTGATTTTACAGTATAAGAATTCTGAGGAATTGTATTCTGTTTATGCAGATCCATAATTCCTTGTGGACCATTAATTCTTACTAGTTATCATTCACTTTTAGGCTAATTTTTTGAGACATGCAGTTTGAGCCTTTAGACACCTCAAGTCACAATGGTTTTCTAGCAGCGTGGTCACACTAACTTTGTGGAAATCTTCTGAACCACAACGCTGTAAGTAGGATTAGTATCAAGCCTTTATGCTCAAAGAACATTTACTCAGTGAGTCCCTCTGAGTCAAAAGTCCTCCTGTAACTTGGGTTCTGGTTTGGCCGTGCCTGTCTGGCGTGATTAGCTTCTGGCTGTGGACAGTGGTTGATACCTGCAGTGATGAAATAGTTTAAGCTTTATCTGTCAGAGCTCCACCTGGAAGAGGCTGTGTGATGACATCCTTAAGGTTCAGTGGTCCTTGCCTCCTCTTTTACTTACCAACCAAATATTTATGACTCAAGTGTCTACATCCCTATGTGGTGCACTTCTGCCAGCTGGGAACAGTAATGAATTAATATTTGCATTTAGGAAAGAACAGGTCTTATAATAACAAATGGGCTAGTCTCATAATCTGGTATTGTAAATGAAATCAGATAGGCTTTTCTCTTCTGTTTATGAAAAATGGGCAAAACTCAGATGTATTGCCCAAGCAATGTGTCTCTTAAATCTTCCTGTGTTTGCAAAACCCTTGGGACTTGACAGCACAAGAACAGTGTACTGTGCCACAAGTAATTTGAGGTTCCCAAGGTATGTTTCAGAAAAGCTTTTTATTTATCTGAGAGTTTTCCAGGCAACCCACCATGAAAAGGAACTGTATAAGGACTTTGGACTCTTGAATTGTGTGTTTGAATCAGTTGCCTAGGAAAGAATGATGGAGATTTGATGAAACACTTCATTGAGATCCTTTGTACATGTAAACATGTATCTACTGAATTAAATTAGTTCTTCAGAGAAATAGCACTGCTATTAGAGCAGAATGAAAACTGTGGCAAAATAATGCCATGAATATTCATATGAATTTTTCAATGAATTCACTTTAACTGTGTTTTTGCCCTCTGAGTGTTTACTTTCTGCGTCTAACTAATGAATGTTTATTCTCTAGTGGATCAGTGAATTTTAAATTATTTTCAGAAAATATTCAGGAAAGACAAATTTTTGAATTTGTGATATATTGCCAAAGAAAAGGTAATGATGATATATGATGTTCACTTAAATACAGAGCAGGACTGTTCTTGGCTGTGCTGCTTTATCTAAGCAGAGGATCTGGATGCATATGTACTTTAAACAACTTTAATGTCAAATGTGCACAACAAGTAACTGGTAAAATTCTTTACCTATAAATAATGGCCTTCTTGCATATAATTTCTTCATAGAAAAAGACAGTAAATTAATTACTACATTTGTATTTATTCTCCCAGTTTTATCATCTAACATGCTGTGTATTTTCACAGAGAACAGAGAATTTCCGTTTGTTATTCCCAACTGTTAGTGACAGTGAGGTATTTATTTGCCACAAAGGGTCAAGTGGTCAATACTACTTGAATTGCATTGAATGGACAAAGGAAATCTCTTTTGTGCTTATTTAACTTCCAGAGATTTTTTTCCCCCCAAAAGTATGAAATTTCTGACCCAGTCAGGTAATACAAGTGGCCCTGAGATATAATGGTTTTGGAACTAGTTCCAAACTTTCTCAAAGATGAGGGAGATTTGGATCCCTGGTTTTGATTTAGCCCATGACAGATAAAACTACAGATCTGGAAAAGAAACAGAATCGAAACTTCTCAGAGCTTAGATCACAGTTTTAGTTCAGGCTCATGTCTAGCAGGTAAATTCTCTCCTAATTAGAAATAGTATAATCAGCAATGGTTTTAGGTTTGCTATTTATTTCCTTTTAATACTTCTTTTTTCCCTTCCAAAAATCAAAGGAGTTTGAGGTATTGTTTTGCTGTTAAAGACAGAAGACTGGCTATCCTCCAAGTGTCAGTCTTCATGGAGCAATTTATCAGCAGGCTGCCAGCTTTAGTGTGGCAGCAGAAGATTACAAAAGAACACAAGGGAATCAGAGAGTAAAGCAAATGTAAAGCTTGTGCAAATTTCAGTTCCCATCCCTATCTAGCTTGTAAATGACGTAAAATATCACATCAATTTATGTTTCAGCAACACAAATAACATGTATTGTAAGATGGAGAATGCTAAAAAAAACACATTATAGCAAAGCATTTGTAAACTTACATTTGCAAATTGTAAATATGATTATAAGATATAAAGAAATAATCTCAAGAAAGAAAAGTTAGTCAGGGCAATTGATAGAAGAATGGAAGCTCCTTCCATTCCTTTGAAGTCTGAATTTATTTCAGTTGCTGCACAAGAATATCTTGGTGCTTTAAACTACCCTTAATACAGCAGTAAAGATTTTTAAAAAATCTTTTCCCATTAATAACAAATAATTTTTAAAATATTTTGGCTTAATTTTTTAAAATGATGAAGGTGTTTGATTTTAATCTGAGAGAGTGCTTTGTGTGCTGCACTGCTTTCAATGTATCAAGGAGAAGTTTGTGGGATACCCCCCTGAGTCTGGGAGAACAGCAAGGCTGTTGGCTTCACAGGAGCAAACATTCCCCTTTTTTCCCTGCTGCATCTGCCAGTAAGGAGCTGGAGATGGACTGTTGTGACAAGGTGCAAAAAAACAGTAGGTCAGTAGAAAGACAAGGACAGACCTGGACTGTGGAGAAATAGAGTAGGAAATGGTATCTGTTAGCCAGACATCTTTTTCCCTCCACTATGACTATTCTGCACCTGCTTTCTCTGTGAATCAGGGTTCTTCCCTACAGTGGCATTTATGACACTCCAGCTAAATGCTATCCCCTATGTGCTGCATTTTTAATTCTGTACAGGTGGGAAAGACATTACTAATTGAATTTGCAGTTGGTGTTTATTCTTTTATTTTGCTGCAGAAAAATGTGCAGCACTGAAGGTGGAGGAGTGGAAACCCACTCCAGAAAGTTGGAGAGCTTTCTCATTACCAGCCCTGGGGCATTTCAGGCATTTCATTTTTTAACTGCCATAAACTGACAAATATAGAAGATGGATCACAATGCAATATACACCTAGTGGGAAAATGAAGCAAGAAATGAAACGATCCATATCAAATATGGAAGGGCAGGTAGCAAGGCAGAACTACATATACAGGCTAAGTGTCTGCGTGTGAAAATCTGAAAAGAACTGAAATTAGAGGTAACGACGACTGAACAAAGAACAGCTTATGATTAACAGTCCAGTATATATTTAATTACAATTAGATGTTTAATTTAGCTAAGAGTTAAGTAGTACTATTCCTAGCTCAGAAGCTCAGGATTAATAAAAAACAGCTAAAATGTACCACTCTTGTTAAGATTTTGGGGGATTTATGAAATGTAGAAGGAAAAAATAAAGTGGGCAACGTCCCCTGTATAAAAAACAGTAATTCCTACTGTGTTGTATTGTTCATACACAGGAAGCAAATTTGGAAGTTATAAAGGAATTAAAGGTTGAATGTCTTACGTCTCTCTTTATGGAGCAAAGTTAGTGATAGCACCTCGTCCAGATTATTTATTCCAGATGTTACCAATGCACAGTGATATAAAACCCAGGACAGTCTGGTAAATTATGTGCTGCTTTAGAAAGTGGAGTTTAAATGATCTGACATTCAACTTTATGAATTGATTTTTGTCTGTTTCAAGTTCAAGGAATTTGATGACATAACTCAAGCAAAGATGCGTACATCTGAACTGAATACCAATTAAATAAAACAATTTTGTAAGAATTAAAGGCTTTAAAACTTTTAGTTTCAGTAACTGTTATATACATATAAATAGCCTGAAAATTACTCAGAAGCAAATTTATTTGCTGTGTATTTGGAACTATACTAGAATTCTTAAAGAAAAAGATTCTGCATGACTAAAGCAAGAATTAATTGCAATTGTGGACTGATTTAAAAATTGAGTATTTTTATTCTTCCTAAAGAAATTTAGTAAAAATTTTCAAACATTGCTGAAATAACTTAGGAACCTAAAAGTCACTTATTTGAAAAAAGACTTTCAAAAGGTGATATGTGTGTATCTGAACTGTATCTGAACCTATCTGAAATGTTTCTGTTCCTTGGACTGTGTTCCATTGTGGCAAACAAATTTTGAAACTTTGGCAGGCATTAAGAACGTAACCACTTTTTTTTTTTTTGTGGCAAACCTTATTTAGATATTCTCGATACACCCACTCTTCTGTTCTGTGTTGCATTTTAACACATCTTGATGTGTGAATTAAAGCACTGAAATGTGGTTTAAAAAAATCCTCCAGCTGGAAAAAGGAAATAATATGGGAGACACCAAACAGGTTGAGTGCTTCAGATAGGTTTCAGTTTTAGAGCAAAATGATTGTATTAGGAGTTAAAAAATGAATATGTGGTGACATACAGCTGCAATGCTCTTCAAAAGCAAATGTCTCCTATGAGGGTTTGGCAAACTGCTGTTCTATATCAAGATAATTAAGGCAAAGTATTGAGGTTTGGCTGTGGAATTTTCCCCCCCTGTATTTAGAAACGTGGTAGAACAAAAGTCCAACTTGATGATTTCTATTTACCTGTTCTTATTTCATTTACAGGAATTCCCAGATTCTCTGAAAGAACAGATCTACCTGAAAGAATGGCATGTGTACAATACTTTGATACAAACCATTCCAGCCTACATTGCATTATTTCAAGATCTGAGAGTACTGGAGTTATCAAAAAATCAAATCAACCATCTCCCAGTGGAAATTGGTAAGTTGGTTCAAGATATTCAGCTCTTTATACTTATGCCATTTAACTATATCACAGGAAAATGAGCATCCATGGATATTCTTATTCATTTACTGATAATTGTCTTCTCGCTTGTTTCCCATGAACAGTGCCCTCTAAATTTTTGCAGATTTCTGGCTGTAATTATACGTGCCAAATTGTATGCAATACCATGTGTGTAGTATGGCTCAAACATGGGAAAAAACTGACACATTTTTGTTCTGACTATAAGGCTGTTACTGCTTGTATTCAAGTAGATGGAGAGTTCTTCCTGAGAACAGGTGGTGGTTTATGTTCCTTACAGGTTAAGAAAAATAGAAGTATTACAGAACTGTAAGCCTCAAACAAGATGAATTGAAACATAAAATTGTGGTAAAAAGGAATAAAAAATATAATATTGCATAAAATCCATCTTTTGAATTTCATAAAGAGTTCAGTAATGATCCCCATTTAATAAAGGGATACATCCAACATGACATCAGGGTTTTTAGAGAAGTAAATTCTTAATGCTTACATACTTTGGCCTTTGCTATTTTAAGCTACATAATAACAAGAATTTTAGTGTTTGGCTCTCCTGTGTTTTCTCATCTTACAATATAAAAAGCTTGTGTGAAAGACTAATGGTTTGAGAGGGATTTACTGCCCATACAAGGAAGAGTGTTGCTGTAACTGGTGGTATCTTTGAGGGCTGAAGAAACTGGGTCCACTATGAGGTACCTGTAGTTATGTCCATGCACCCAGGACACCTAATACCTCAGCCTTTGTTTTTAAGTTTTCCCCATGACTGGTATTCCTTATGTACACTAAGAGCTAACAACTTTCAAAAAACATAAAGATTAAAACCTCCACCTCCATAGTTATCATAGGTTTAACTAAGAAATACAGGAAGAGAGAGAGAATCCTGAAACACAGAAATCAGTGCTAGACTTTTCTACTCTTTTCCACTCTTTTTCTAGTCTATTAGTAGAGTAATACTAATGCTTTTGATTTATTTACTAACATTATATTTTACACAGAAAATTTCCCACTGACATCAAGATATATTTTATAGTTTCAACCTGGCAGCTAAATATACTAACAAATCAAAACCAAGACATAAGCAGGAGATAATGGACAGAAAATAAACACTAACTGTTTTGTCATCGCTTTGACCATGGAAGTCAGATGAGTCAGTGAGTTTAATGGGTAAACACCTTTTACCAGGTGGTATGGAAGAAAGGGGAAAGGACATAGTTCCCTTCCAGAGGCTACCCTAAGCCATAAAATGTAGGGTTTTAAGGGGTTGCTGCTTAACAGTTGAGGCAGGTAAAGGCTAAGAAAGATTTTTTTTCTTTCTTCTTGTAATATTGTGCATCATTAATGAAAATGATCCCCAAGAAAAAGTGATTATGGATGCTAATAAAGTCTGCTTCCAGAATAAAGGCACAAAACCAGATCATTCTAGCATAACCAATTCTCTAGAGGGTAATGCAGAGGCTGTATCCGACCTTTTTGGGGAAAAAAGGAAGAAAGTTTCAAATGCTTCTAGTAGCAATCACTGTTCTTTCAGTTGCATTTAAATGATGTGATTTCTGCTCATCAGTAGCTTTCATGTTATTCCCATTTATTCACTTTCCCTCCAATATGCTTATCCCTCTACCTTATACCCAAGGTGTTACTTCCTTCCTTTCAGTGTTTTTGTTGCTGCTTTTTTATGCAAATGTTTTACTGGAAGGACCAGGGAATATTAGAAAACTGTTTGCTGTAGGTCCTGCCTCAGACACAATGGTATAGCACTCACTGTTCTCTTAACGGTGAACTCTTGTTCAGAAATTTTTTTTCAAGATTCATTAAATGAGAGTGGGCATGACTGTACTAAACACTCATCTGGCGTGGATTTGAACCTTTCCTTTTGAGACACGGCATAACCAAATTAGCAAATTTGGTTAACCATAGATGCTAAATAGGCTGGATAGGCTAGAATTACTGCTGTAATGTAGAACTATTGTATAAATACTATTGTACTTACATATATACATATATACACGTATATATATGTATATATTTGTATATATATGTATAAATACTATTGTATTAAAATATACACTGAACAGTTCAGCACTTTTTTGCCAAAACTGACTAATGACTTTCAGTCTTAGTGAATGTCCTGTGTTGATAGACCACCTATTAGTAATGCAATGGAGCTGCCCTTTTTATGGCATAAATTACAGAGAAGTTTTTATCTCAATTTGTATAATGCTCTCTTTGTTGACATATAAGGTGTTATGCCTGCAAATGGCTATGCTTTTATTTCATGTACGATATATGCATACAGACATAGACACTAATATGTATTGGAAACATTCATTAGTTTAATAAGACATTATTATAAAAGATCTTGGATATTTTGAAGTTTCTGGATGCTGCTTCAAAATAAAACCTTTCATACTTTAGCCATCTAGCTGCTAAATTATTACAAGGAAAATAATTGTTGTGGGTTTGGTTTGGGAGCTCTATCTAATCAATGAGTGAGGACTCGGTGCTAAATCAGAAGGTAAGGTCTCTGGAAAGGTTAAGTGCTAAAGTATTTGTCATTTTGTGTTCTGTTTACAAAACAGCAGCAAGTAGGTAAATATCACAACTAAAACATACTTGAGAGTAATGACAGATGGTTGAAGTGGGCAGTGACATGCATGCTGTTGAGTCTTTAATCTTCAGACAGAATTGAAGCCAAGTTTAGACCAACAAATCATCCAGCAGAAGCTAAACTGGTGAGCCATGTTCAGACTACTTTTGATTCTCACAAGAGGGGTTTAAAGGTGTGAGAGAACAGGAGATTATAAGAATATTTTCAGTGGAAAAAAGTATTGCTGTAGTAGCAGCCTCTGGACTAAAATACCTGCAGGAACTGAAGTTCATGTTCCTGTTTCACCTAATTAGAGGGGAATGCTCTACTCTGAATCAAAGAGAAGAAAGACTTAAATCCATTCTCAGATATATCAAATCACGCTCTTAGCTGTAATCACCTATGCACTTGAACAGATCAAATTTGGGTCAGATGACAGATGAGAATACTTTTGATTTATTTCTTTTTGTGGAATAGCAAATATTTTCATGGGAAGCAAGTAAACAAAAATGGAGAAAATGCAAAATGGAGTTGTCTGTCTCAAAGTTGCTAGGTTTGGTTTTCCCAGGAATAACAGAAAAAATCACGAACAGGGGTGTAGCTAGGGGATTTTCTTTGGCAATGGCTTCTGGGTGAGTTTGCAGTTCTGGCTCTGACTGCATGGCTGCAGTGCAGTCGCTGTATATCGGTTAGTGCTAGTACATTAGTAATTGCTATAATTGAAAATATCCAATAGAGTATATTCCCATATTCACATAGGGAGTAGTGAACTGCATTTTCGTGTGATTCCAAAGCTTTTGTGCTGGGATGGGATAGTGAGGTTATACCAGGATTTTTTGTCCTACAAATTATTCATGAAACATCTCAAAAAGCTGTTAATAAAATCTTTGTACCTCATTATGTTCTCTCACATTTTTGATATGCCAAATATTTAAGAGGAAAAATAACTGTGGAATAATTTAATATTTTAATAAGAGACATATTTTAATAAGAAATCACAGGGATTTTTTTGTCTCTTTAATAAGAAATCACAGGGATTTTTTTGTCTCTACATACCTCACAGTATAAAATTTCATTTGTGCATACCATTAATTCAATTGCCCAGAACTCAGAGGGGAAAACTATAAGTAATACAGTTTTAAATGACTCCTAGATACCTAAGATAGCTTTTTCTATTAATAAGATTCCCAGTGTGCTGATGTGTGAGTTTCTAAGAAGAAAATACATATTCTCAGTTTAAATTCAGCCTAGTTCTGAGGAATTGCAGACTCATCTCTAACCCTTGCCATTTATTCAGTATTTAATATTATTTATCCAGCACCTCAGTTTTGTATACGACTGAGGAAAATTTTGTTTATATTTCCTGTTTGAGGGGGAAGTATTAAACACCTCTGTTGCAAGTTGACTATTGGTACGAGGATGCCAGTTACTTTAAGGCTAGCTTAAAGCTCAAATGATGGCTTGCTCGTATTAGAACAGCTGGTAAGCTCCTCAAAATTTAACCCTTGGTTAGTGAATCACAAAAGTAAAAAACTGTACTTTTTATTGGACCAGCTAGTGAGGAAATAGTCTTTTTTGGTTCATCTGCTTAAGCTATCAAAAATGGGAATATTGTACTAAAGTGTAATACAACCATACTGCTTTAACAATTTTCAACATCATTGGATCTTGCAAATGCCAGTACTTTATTAAGCTGAACTTCTTGAAAGGATTTTAAGTAGTGCCATTGGGTACTGAGCTCAGACTGTAAACACTGCCATGGAAACTACTCATTACATAAATTATTTTTGCCAAAAGATTCCTATCTATTGACTTTGTCACATTGCTTTATGTAACTACATTATATACAACAATGCTAGAACACTCTCCTTCTATGCAGAGCAGATTGGTATTAGCAAACTCTGTAGTTTATTTCTCAAACTTTACTTGGGTCAGAGTGGGAATGTTGGAGGCTGTGCCCACCATTCTGATTACGATGGAAAAGTTTTATTCAAAACGAAGCTTTTTCAGTTTCCAAGGTGATCAAAGTGTTCTACTCTTCTGAAAAACAGTTTACTCCATGTTTATTTCTGATGCTCAGAAAGTGTTTTCCAGCTCGGAGACTGAGCTTATACTCTACTTTGCCCTTGGGAGACTCACCCTTTCTTGGGGATCCCCAGGGAGATAAGAGTTCATGTTTCAGCTTATCTACTCACATGAAAAAAGGAAGTCACATACTTTTCTGTAGAATTTCTGATCTACCAAAATATCTTCAGTTCAGCTCATTGCATTTTTGTTTTCATTAATTTCCTTTTCAGACCTTTCAGTAAACCCTCATCCTACGTTTTGTCCCTGAAGGTATCTCTCTCTACTATTCAGCCCACAAGAACTTCTTCAT